TTGTCGTGATCCAACCCATCTGGCGGAGGAAATTTCGGACAGCCATCTTCATCCTTCCTGATCTGGGATTTGGGAATGGGCGGGCCAATCGGGCTGATCCACGGCTTGACGGAGTACCCCCACGGTATGGCTGGTGGGATTCGAGGCCTGGGAATCGCATTAGCACCCGCGGGCTCTTCGCTGGAATCGGTAGAGCTGGAACCGCTGGCTTCCCCATGTGCCCCCCCCTTGGAAGAGCCTCTCTGAGCGTCAGCATGGCCAGCTGACTCGTAGTCTTGTGCAGCGGTCGTGCTCTTGCCCCCAGGGGGGCCAGCGCCCCCTCCTGCTGGGCCATGACCACCCGGTGCCACTCTGCGCCTGGCAATCGGCGACCTTCTGCGGCTCCTGCTGGCGGGCCTCTTCGGAGCCTCTTCGGTGGCAACAGGTGCAATCGGCGGAGGTGGAGGCAGAAAGGGCCCCGGGTAAAACTGGTGGTGAGAACTTCGAAAATGGCTCCATGATGGTCTTCCCGCGCTTCTCCAGCTCATCTTTTAAAAGCTTCTGTTTCTGAGCAAAACGCAATGGAGTGTCTTCGTTGCCCTCCTTGCCATCGGGGGCCATTTTGCGATTGCATGCCCGGCGGCCCAGAGCCTTGCGATCGAAAGAACCCAGAGGAGAAGTGGGCGCGGTTAAGGAAGAACCCAGAGGCACAGTGGAAGCGATTGGACACCAGACCTCGTCTAGGCCAGGAGAAAATAGATCTGCTGAAGAAGAGATTGTCGTGATGAGGCCTCTGATCAGAGGCGGAATGAACAAACGCACAAAAGCGAAGCGCATACTAGAACCGTGTAGTTACTGAGAGGAGGAGATCTGATAATTCATAACCCAATTCATTATGCCCCTAGCCAGTTGATGGCGCGCCTTCTTGTCTCGAGAGCCCTCGGGAGAGAAACGAGAGGTCCAAGACCTATAGCCGCATCGCAAAACATGGCCCCTGTGAGTTCTGGAATTAATTCGGCTACCTCCTAGGCTACCAAACACCGATGCTCCGAAGCCCAATGTTAACAGTAGCGGAAAAGCCTGGAGGAATGGTCTTCCGGGCGCCCCTGCGTGTGTGCAAGCCAGCTGTTGGCTGATTCCGAATGAACGAGAACCCGACAGACGCCCCTGTACTGCTTGACTTCCCTGTTCCTCCTATGGTTAAACGGATCGGAAATATCCCCGGGCTGTCTTTTCGGTTTAAGCATGATTGCAATGAGTTTGTTCTGGGTTCTGGAAATCAAGTCCGAAGTATGTTTAGAAGGAACCCAAGCAGCACCTCTCGACCTGATGATGCCGCAAGTCATACTTTTGAGTTTCCCGAGTCGTGATCTCATGGGATTTTTGCCGCTCGCAAGAGATTTGCTCTTGGACCAGAACGCGCTACTAATCTGCTGAAGCCCCCCCGCGAACATCCGCATTACATGATCCGTTAGAAGACAAAATTAAACCAATAACCCTAGCCTCAAAGACGACAGCCCACTGAGAACCGTATGCGCCCGTCCTGACGTAGCTGTCGAGCGCGTGGGGTTAGGAGGCGAGAATTTCCGTGTCTGGTTTGAGACGGAGCCCATGCAACTCCCAGAGAACCCGTCCGAGGGCATTCGCGAGCCGAGTTAGATCTTCGAAGCTAGGACCTATCGTGAAGATGTTGTCTGGCCAACTGAGGACGGGGGGAGAGAAGTCAATCCCCGAGGTCTCGCTCCTAAAATGGATGCCAAGGGGTGCCCCGTGGATCTTTTCAAGGGTGCAGATGAAACGGACTTCCACGGTGATTCTTTCAAGCGTGTATGCCGTGCCAGCTCCCTGCGTCAACCCTTTTCGGCGGTCGACCACGTCCGTCTCTGAGTCTAACAGGAGAATGGTGACCTTGGGGTTCTTATGAAGTCTCAGGCAACCCACTGCTAGAAAGCGACGGACCCGTCTCCCAATGAGGCTTCTGAGTGCTAATCCACGGCGTATCTGATCGCGATGAGCTTTGATGTCTGTGATGCCCGCCATTCAGGCGTTCAGATGATCGCGGCCACACTCCAGAATCTGATAAGCTGAAGTGTGAAGCTCTTGGAGTTGGCATCCTTTACTTAAACCCATAGATAAGGCAATACATTCCTTTTGACTGAGTGTAGTTATCCAAGGCGGGTCGGATGGAACGAGCAATGTATGCATGGCAGGTCTTGGCAATCGTAGGCCGAGGGATGGCGGCCCGAGTTTGAGGGGGCGGGCCGAAGCCCTTGATTTTGATTCCCAGATGCCCTTGGAAGATGATGCCCGACCAGAAGGCGTTGGAACCGAAGGCCGCTTGAATGCGAGGGTTGGTCCTATTCGCCCACCCTGCGATCTTGATAATGGCGACGCAACCCAAATGGAAATCTGTCTTACGGGGGGCCTTGATATTATCCAAAGCCTCATCCAAAATGTCTGGAGCAACCGGTGTCTCAAAGTCATCAAAGAAGCCCAAGCTACGAAGCATCTCGTCATCTTCCCTTTGTCAGCATCTGAGAGACCCCACCTGGCCAAATGTTCCTGGCAGACCAGCTGGGTGCATTTTGCATGATCAAAGATCTTTTGACCATCTTGTGCAAAACCCAGAATAGGAAAGAGAGTCTTGCGGGGGGGGCAGACCGGAACTGTCTGAGATGATAAAGGTCAATCCGACTAGACTCTCTGGCTAATCTAATGATCCTGAGGGCTCTCAATAGCAGGGCGCCGATCGAAACGCGTTTTTTCTCATTGCACTCAGAGCGATATTTTGCTCTCAATGACTTGATCCAGAAGGGCGCGTCGTCTGATTTTCCTGGGCGGGGCCTGTGTAGCTTCGCGCGCATGTCCTGGGATCGACTCCCAAAAACTGGAGGAAGAGACCGCGTCGGTCGGGCCCCATAATTTTACCGTGCACGAATCCAGACGCTCGCCCCGATCAAAACGGGTAAGTTCCGACGCTTCGGGGGAAACGTTCTCAGCCATGTTGGGAACTTCAAAAATGTCAGAAGGGGGCCCAGAGCAACGGCCTGCGGGGCTTTCTCGTGGAAGAGAATGCCACCGCATCGTGGCCAATCGATGCGGGGCCCCCTGGAGTCCCAGCCCGCAGTGGGAAGCTATCAGATTGAGAATCCCCCCGATCCAAGGCCGCGTGATCAATGGCAGACTGGTCCTGGGATAGAGCTTGGCCCCCGTCAGGTCTCCAGGAAAAAGGGCGTGCTGGCCTCCGACAATCTTTAAGGCCCAGCCCAGTTTGAGATGGCGACATGCGCCAAGAAAAGGGTTCAAATTTGGGATCTCCATTTCCTTGATCGGCATTCATATCCCCCAGCCAGGAGAGAATGGAAGCCCTGGGTCGAGCTCTTCCAAGCAATCGCAATATCTAGAGAGTCCACAAAGAGATAATGATCAAGATGGGAGAAGAGCAAGGAGCGGGCAGGATACTGGAAACCTTCCAGATCAACTGGAAGAAGATCAACACGAATAGACCTCCAATCGCAGATGACATCATACACGCGTTTTCCGGGATAATGGTGAATCCGGATACCCATGGGCCTACGCCCAGGGCCAGGGTAATGGCGGAGGAAAGCGTGTCCACCCGAGGTAGGAGAGAGCTCCCCATGACCCTCTTCGGGGCCGCTCCTAAAGTCCACCTCTAACAGTGCAATGATGCCCCAGCATGTCAGCTCGAGTAAGCCCAAGATAATTTGAATTGCAGCATCATCCGCGCACATGCCCTGCGCGTTCAGTGCGCAGACGAGTCCCCTAACGTGCTCGTGCTCCCCTCATGTCTTGCGGGCTTCATCTACCGCCTTGCGAACTGCCTCCTTGTACTGGGCCGTTGGGGTTCTTTCGAAACAAACATCATCCCACTTCCATTCCCCTGCAACAGCCGCTCCGATGATGCGACCCTCAACCCAGATCTGGCGAGTGCGAGAACACATCGCAAAGGAATTGGTGTTCCGTTCCATGGCGGCTATAACGGCGTCTGCCACCGTCTTGGAAAGCCTCCCTGGAGCCCTTTCCTCTCTCGTGCTGATCTGACCGCGCCGTATCAGCCTATCCCCGTGGCCAGAGAAGGCCTTCTGGCGGATTGCCTCAGCAGCTTGAACTCCCTCAACAACCGAGGCCCACTTGATCTCGACACAACTGCCGTAGCCGTGGAGGGCGACAGTGTCTGCGGGCTGGGCGACCCCCGCTCTACGGATAAAATCCCTGGCTTTCTCAAGGGCTTCTGGCTTCTTAAGATCCCGACCCATATTTGAAAGGATGAAGATGTCTCTTTCTGAACGAAGGACGCTGGCCCAAGGGGGGGCCCTTTTTCCGCGAAGAAGCCCCAACTGCAGGGGGGGCCTTGTTAGCAGCAGTTTAATCGCCTTTTGCTATGTCTCGAGCAACTGAATCTTGTCTCCGTGGGCTTTGAACGTCTCATGTTCAATTTTGAATGCTTCGATCTGTGCTGCATCGCTGTTGACCCCCTCAGCTGCAATCGAAAGCTCCTGAGCAACATCCTTTTTGAACGTCTGCATGTTATCAGAGATCGCATCGGACTTTTCTTCGAAAGGAACGACTTTCTGTCCAGCAAGGCTTCCAGTTGTGCAAGGAGTCTGGAAATGTCGGAGGACGCGGAACCTGAAGATCCCAAGGAAGAGCCATTTTCTCCGAGAGGGTCAACATTCGAACCCTTGGTGTCCCCTGTAGCACTGCGAAGTTCTTGGGTGCTGCGTTGGGCGTTTTCCTTGTCCACAGAGGCAGCCTTACGGGCCCCTCGCTTGGCGATATCTATTTTCAGAATATCCTGAAAAGCCTGTCCAATATGATGCGTGATTGTGGACATCACAACCAACCCTCACGGAAGAAAATCACTACTGAGCTTGGGCGGGGCACAACCCAATCTGAACTAGAAAGGAATTGAGATATCTGCAGCCAATATAAGAAGTCCGATGGTCAGGTAGCGGAATGCACTTGGGCCACGCCTTGGGAAGGGGCGGAGCAAGAGGATGATGACAAAGACTACTTCAACGCTCCCTGTTCATATCGTGTCATATCTTGCACGTCCCCCCTCTTCCGGAATCCCCGAGGCCGTGGAACTGGCAGGAGGGAGCGGCGTAGGGCAAGCATGGGGGCCACGCGCTCGCCAACCCGCCGTGCAAAGCCATGCGCGGCCGTCCGTCGCCCTTGTCGAAAGCAAAAAGCTTGAACTAGTGGCCATCACGTGATTCACACCTGACCACCTTTCCATAATCTTGGTCGATTCTGCAACCCTTAACGCGCCTTACCTGGGACAAGTCCGCCGACCCAGTCGGCGTGTGTGAGAGGCCCTTCGACGCGAGGCCAGCCCAATCCAAACTGAAATACGCCAGTCTCCTTTGAATCGTCGTCGTGGTAAGGGAGATCGAACAAACAAGGGGAATATACCGATACAAGGGGGATCGAACAATGTCATAATTCTACGTCGAAGGGCAGCCCCTTCCCTTTGTCCCGTCCCCGCCGAAAAGGGGTGTCCCGGGGGGGGGGGCCCGCAGGTCCCGGGAGGGGGAGGGGGTCCCGGGAGGTGCGCCGGGAGTCGTGACCCCCACCCCTTGGCGGTTCCCCCCCCCGTGTACAAGCGAAAAAGGACAGAGGGGGCGGCCCCCCTTTCAGCAGGGGACCTGAGGACCTCCAGCCTTGGCGCCGACCCTGGCCCCAGCCCCTAAGCATCGCGATATATGCGATCCCTATCCCCACGGGCGTGGCCTGGGCCCCACTGGCCGATTTACCCTCCTAGATGGGGTTATGGGCCGTTCTGTTCGGGTTTCGAGGGGTGTATCCCCAACTGGGGGGGTAATTTTGTGGGGGTCTCGAAGGGGATGGGGATGGGGATGGGGGTCTGTTAAACGATACTGAGCCCGGCCCCGGCCCCGGCCCGAGTCCCAGACCCGGCCAGGGCTCTGGCCCTCGGCCCTGGCCCCAGCCCAAGCCCCCGGGCTGGACCCTGGCCCCAGCCCCCGGCCCCAGCCCCCGCCCCAGCCTCGGTTCCGCGCTGGGCCCTGGCCCCAACCCCACTCTCAGCCCGCGCCCGAGGAGACAAACGGCTCAGCTCCTCCTCCTCCTCCTCCTCCACCTCGTCCTCGTCCTCCTCCTCTTCCTCCTCCTCCTCCTCCTCGTTATCCTCCTCCTCGTTATCCTCCTCCTCGTTATCCTCCTCCTCGTTATCCTCCTCCTCGTTATCCTCCTCCTCCTCCTCTTCCTCCTCCTCCTCCTTCTCTTCTCCTCCTTCTCCTCCCCCTCCCCTTCCTCCTCCTCCTCCTCCTCCTCCTCCTCCTCGTCCCCTCCTCCTCCTCCTCTCCTCCTCCCCCCCTCCTCCTCCTCCTCTCCTTCTTCCTCCTCCTCCTCCTTTTTCTCCTCCCCTCCTCCTTCTCCTCCTCCTCCTCCTCCTCCTCCTCCTCCTCCTCCTCCTCCTCCTCCTCCTCCTCCTCTCGTCCTCCTCCTCGCCTCCCTCCTCCTCCTCCTCCTCCTCCTCCTCCTCCTCCTCCTCCTCCCCCTCCTCCCCGTCCCCCTCCCTCTGCCCCTCCTCCTCCTCCTCCTCCGCCTCCTCCTCCTCCTTCTCCTCCTCCTCCTCATCTTCCCCATCTTCCTCATCCTCCTTCTTTTCCTCCTTCTTTTCCTCCTCCTCCTCCCCTTCTCCCGCTCCATGTCCTGAGCCCGTGGCAGGGTCATCAACTTTTTGTTGTCGTTGTCTTCGTGGTCGTCGTCGTCTTTCTGGGTCGGCGGCACTAGCCGGAAGGCCTTGAACTGTACATTCTTACATGCGAACTCGCACCATCCCAGCCCAAGTGGTAGTGCCCTCCCCTTTCATCCGTCTCAAGTGATACTACGCGCGCGCACTCGTCAGCAGTGTCCAAGAATCCATTGCAAACGATGTGACGAAATCGGCACGCGCGCGTCGTCGCGCGCGCAAGCCGGAATTCTTTGAATACCGTTCGGTTCCGTGCGGATTTCAAGATCAAGGCTCCTGAAAACGTATGAAACACCCATTATTCCAACTTTCCACCTCATGTAATGTAAAATGTTATGCTTATGACAATAATTCTGGTTAGTGATAGTGTTGTTCTAGTTGTTGTTGTTATTATTATTATTACTCTTGTTCGTACACTCGTATTACTAAAAAGAATATGCGCTCGCGCTCTTGCGAATGTCTAAGATAACCATCGGTGTTCAACATTGTTACAGCAAGTGCTACCAAGCCGGTCTTTCGCGCGCGCGTGTCGAAATCATTCAAGCGTCTTTTGCGCGCTTGCTGGTGGTGGTGGGGTACACGATCCTTGTCAAAAGGAAGGCGTGCGGGCCACTCCCGCCCGTCGGCAGCGCGCATGGCGAAACCCTTTCCAAAGGTTAATCACCGACGCGTCGACACCATCACCGTAATCAGCGTGATCATCATCGGCGCCGTCATTGGCCTCGCCGTTGTCATCGCCATCGTCGTCACCAGCACCGTTGCTATCGTCATCGAGTCCACCTTTGCCAACGTCGCCATGATACCGCGCCCGCCCGAATCACCGACTTGCACTGAAGTGCCCAAGTGCCCGCGCGGCCTGCAAGACGCGCTAGGAAAGCCCCAGCAGTCAGCGCCACCGCGGCCGCGTCGATCGCGCCAGACTAGCTGGCCCTTCGCGCGCCAGCGCGACCGCAAGGGCGCGCCAGCCAGAGCTAAGGAAACATCGCGATCGCCGCCGCATGGGTTCTACAAGCAGAGTTGCGGGTGGGCGTGTGGGATGCTTGCACGAGCATGGGAGGTTGGCGTCTTCGTAGAGTTGACACATCATTGGTGGCAAATGCACTGCACCATATACTTTGCACAATGAAACTTGCACTCGTTGCTTCCTGTACTGATTATCCCAACACGCAGGTTTACCTCTCCACCCATGCCGAGGCTGGCCTTAAAAACTAAGCACTGGGTACTGCGACTTCAAATTCTGCAAGAACGTTCATCTCACATACGAGCTCGTAACACCTCAACACATTTGTTGCATACAAGCTTGTGAAACATTTTGTATTCTGAAAGCATGCGGGCCACATGCACGCGCACGTCGACATCTTCCAACATTCATAGCGCTCCCAACGGCCCTGTGACATACCATTGCGAAACGATGCTTGCCCATTGATTTCAATCGACAAGTGGTCAGCAACCGGTGAAAGACCAATGTGCGCACGAACGCATGTTTGATGTCTTGCGCGCGCACACGCGCTTCCTTAGCGGTCTCATCAACATCATCACCTACCACCGTCATCATCGCCGTCATATCCATCACTATTGCCATCAGCGCCGCCGTCGTCATCACGAATCGTCATCATCATTGTGTTTGTCATCGACCTCAGCATCATCGCCATCACCACCACCACCATCATCACCATCATCATCATCATCATCATCATCATCATTATCATCATCATCATCAACATCATCATCGTTGTCATAATATTCATCATCATCGTCACCGTCGTCACCGACGCCGTCGTCACCAACATCACTCGCCCACCCGAGCCAGGGATCTGCCTGGGAATGGTCATCGGGTCCCTGCGTCAGTTGAAATGGTGCCAACATGCTTCGGGTGGAAGGGCGGGACGTTTGCTCGAGCACTGTAAGTCATTCGTTAAAACTTCTTCTTCTTCTTCTTGAATCTTCTAGGAGGGCATTCAACTCCACCCTCAGCCGAGGCCAACATTAAAAACACCATTCGGCGTTACTTCCTTGCTTTTTGAACTCAAGTCTGCACGACCGCTCATTTAAATCATCAAATCATAAAACCCCCAGTCGGCCGGTACTGATCTCTCCGCCATCCATGCCAAATATCACCATCGGGTGTGCACAAGCATTGATCTGACACATGCGCTTCACAATAGTCCCCATTGCATGCTACCAGGTGGCCATGCGCGTCCACATGCGTCGCCGCGCGCATGTTTAAACCATTGAACAACACGATGTTTTACATTTCAACATAGAGCCCTCCGAACATATAGAAACCAAGTGTTGAGCCCGCCGGACATATAGAACCACAGGCGCGCCCTGCGAATTGCAGCGCGCGCTCACTTTCGCACCATCCTCATCAACAACATCGTGATCAACATTATCACCATCGTCATCAACCACCGCCATCAACATCAACATCACCATCATTTTTATCATCATCACTGCCGTCATCATCACCACTGTCGTGCATGGAGGCGTGTGTGGCGGCATCCGCGCGCCACGCCGATTTCGTTTATCCGTACGTATTTGATCTCTCATGACTGTACAACATAAACGAACCGCTCGCCGTGAGTGCTCCGCCAAAGCCAGACCCCTGGCACAGCCTGCCCCCAGCATGCATGTTGGCACACCTTATGGTAACGCCATGGTCGCTCGCTCGCTCATCTCCAGAATCATCATCACCATCGTCATCATCGACGTGGTCGACGTCATCGTTGCCATCGTCATCGGCGTTGCCATTGCCCTCATCATCATCGCCAACACCGCCACCATTACCATCACCCTTATCATCACCATCATCATCATCATCATCATCATCATCATCATCATCATGATCATCATCGTCTCCGCCGTTGTCTTTACCATCATCATCACTCGCCCGCCCAATCCATGCCAACACGTTGCGGGTGGGTGGATGTACGCTCGAGCATTAGAGTACCTTAGCGTGTGAGTTCGGTAATTGGGTGTACTGCCTAGCTTGCCCCACATAACTTACACCACATGGCCTCCACCACACAGCCTACACCATGTAGCTTGCTCATCCACAGGCCGCAAACTCACTGTTCGAGGTCCACGTTGGTAAACATGTGTTTGAGAAAGTCGCTACGCGTCCTCAGGTTCACCCATGCAGCTTCAAGACGCCCGAAGGTACTTCTGCCCAATCGGTGCCACGACACCCAGCCCATATGCGACAACCTGGCGCCTTTTGGTGCCTACCTGCCTACTTTGGGAATCGCCAAGGCCGTCCAAATGGGATCCCTCGGGCGGCTTCAGCGCGTGATGTTGCCCAGCGAGCGTGCGACAGACGGCGCAGACAAGGACTCCTGGCGAGGGCGGCCCTCTGGGACTCAAGTGCCTCCGAACACTTTGTGCGCAGACTTCACGACAGACCTTGGCTCAGAGCCCCACCTCGTTGGGCACCTCTTCTTTCCACATCGCTGCACATGCTCGGACACATTTTGGCGGTCGCGGCCTCGCGCGCGGCAGCGAGGCGAAGTAAGTCGAAACCGGTGGGGACGGGCGCGCGCGGCCGAACCCTCAAGCGGGTTCGCTTTGGATCGCCGCGCGTGCCACACGGGCTGTGGGCAGCGCATAGCCATCCGGGGAGGGATGGCGGGGAGGAAGGACCGCTGCCCGCCAAAGGCTCGGACACCTCGGAACACGGCCTCGAGCAGCGAACTGGGAGGAGACAGCGTGCTGCAGGTGAGCCCAGCTGGAGGACACAGCGCAGAGGAGGAGGCGTCCCGCCTCGGAGCGGAGGCATCGTACGTCGGAGCCTGGACGCGAACACTACACGAACCCGACCCCCGAACAATCTAATTGCATGGTGAGCAAATGCCGACGACGACGACGAAGGCGACGACAGCGACGACGGCGACGTCGCCGACGACAGCGACGACCTGCGACGAAGACTCGAAATCGCAACAAGAAAGGCGCTCGCCACATAGCTGCCAGATCACTGACCGCCAGGGGCTTCCTCCCCTGCCCTATGAGAAAATATAATTCGCTTGCGGAATTCGCTGGCTCAGCGCTTACACCATGCTGCGCGCACATCGGCTCGTCAGTCACTCGACTCGCAATTCGCTGACGCGATCGAAGCTCCTCTTTTTGACCGCGTGCAATGCCCCCACCTGTTGAGATTGTATGTTGAGCATTTGGGCTTTACCATCTCAAACAAAGTGGCCATGGCGATCGATTGTATTGATGAACCTGGATTGTTCCTTTGTTGCGCATGCGCGCGAACACATGTCTTTCCCCACCGATGTGCAACACTAGTGGGTGGGCCAACAACTCGAACGTACACAAAGTCCCACGCGTATTCAGACACAGGCTCACACATATACATACAGACACACACACACACACACACACGCAGACACGCGCACAGACACACACACACAGACACACTGACACACAGAGACACACACATAGACACATACACACACTTTTCGTCGGCGGCGTGGCAGAGTTGGCTGCACCAGCGCTCGAGTTAAACGGGTGCACAGAGAAGCGAATTGGCCAGCGTGCAGGAACCGGGAGAAAAGAGACGACGCGGCCGCGGAAGGGAGGGAAGAAAAGGCCACACAGAGGTGGACAAATTCTCACCTGAATGCGCTGGCGCGGCCGGCCCCGTCAGCGAGATCCATGGCAGCTGCCAGGCCGCGGCGCCGGGGCACCCGCGGGCGATGACGGGGCCCAGTGCGTGGAAATCAAATGCTGCTGTGACGCTGCCGATAAAGTGGGCGAGGTACTTGGACGACAACAAGAGGGCCGCAAGGCCGCCCAGGTGGGTGGCGCGTGACAGCGTACGGCAAGTTCGCCATCAGTCAAGTTTGGACTGTAACCAGCAAAATGCTGAGCCCGTGGAGGGGGGCGGGCGGCAAGACCAAGCCCAGGTGCCCAACCGTGCGGGGAGGCTGCAAGCGGCGGCCGCCTCGCGAGCGCCATAGCGGCGCGCGGGGGGAGGGGGGGAAAAAGAGGGCGGCGAGGAGGGAAGAGAGAGCGAGGAGGAGCGCCCCGCCTGGAGGGAGATCCCCGCAGGCGGGGCGGCAGCGCCGGCGCCGGCGCCCGCCTGGGCGGTAGGTGGGCGGCCCGCGCGCTGCGCTGCTGCGAACGTCTGCGCGCTGCCCCGGGTGGCGGGCCATGGTAGCTGAAGCGCGCCCGGAGCTGCCTGGCAGGGGGCTGCGAACCCGGCGTGCCTGGAACAAAGCTGTGGCTAAGGCCGTGAGGCTGCGCTTCCAGGGTGGACAGTGCGGGCCAGGGCTAGGGGCGCCTAGTCGGTGCGGGAGCTGCTCAGAAGAAGCGGCCGAAGCCGTGGGGGGCCGCGCGCTGCCCCGGTGGACAGCGCGCCCGGGTGGACAGCACGCGGCTCGGGCACCTAATCGGTGTGAGATCAAATATGACAGGAACCAATGACAGTGAAGAGAGAAGTGCCACGCGCCGCCGGGGTAGTTGGCTGGTGGCATCTAGGGTCGCCGGGCGACTGAGAGGGCGATGGGGGGGCCGCGCTGATGTGGCTGGGCGCCCCGAACTGTCTTGGGTGCGCTGCGGTCTGGGCGAGAGCAGCGTGGGGGAGACCGTTCTCTGCGCCATGGCCAAAGGGCTCTGGGCTGAACAATGGCGACGCCGCGTCAGATTCCCAGCTGGAAGGCCTGCCATCTGGGGGGCCAGCTGGGTGCCCCGGTCTGGCCCTGGAGCAGAGGTCTCAAATGCCGGGCAGGCTTGCCGTGTTTGGACGGCGCTGCCTCAACTGGTCGTTGTTGGGCCAAATTGGGTCTGCGCGCCTCTTGCCTTTCCCGACCGTGTCGCGACCTTTCCATTTGCCCTTGCCCATGTCCCGCTGCTGCTCGTTGCGCCGCAACTGGCGGTCCCTGGCGGCGCTCCACTTCACGTGGGCCCCCCGTGCTCTACAGACCCTGCGGATGTCGAGCTATTCATTGCAGCTGGTTCACGAGCTCCTCGCAGAAGGCGTCATGCCCGTCGGGGTTGTAGGCCCCTCTTCCCGGGGTCCGGTTGCCCCTGGCGTCGCTGGGGGCGTTCCAGCCCTCGACGAAGAAGGCCCCGCAGTCGATCTTTAGCCTGTAAACGACCTCAGGCCAGGTCTCGCGGGCGTTGGACCTGTGATCCCACGCTGGGTGCCATTTGATCGCCCGACGGGGTCCGATGTATAGCGAGTCAGGGATTGGGCCGCGGGGCACTGTGCCCCGCGGCCCAATCCTGGCTATTGTGGCTCAAGCCATCCACGCGCATCCGTCGCCATTTTGGCTCAAGGTCATGCGCCTCCCGAAGACTGCGAGTCCGAGAGGACGCGTCGTCGAGCGCGAGGGGTCGCGCTTGAGCCAATTCTCTTGGGAAGCGACTCTCATTTCGGCTGTTCTGACCGCTCCTGTTTCCCGGCTTGCCGCGCTGGGCGGCGCCCGCTCGCCCTGTGCTGTTGCGAAGCAATGGTGCCGAAGTCGCCTGGAGGTAGTGGGTGATGGTGCAGGAGGGGGCAAACGCGCGTCGCGTCGACAGAAATGGCGCTGCAAGTCCTGTCTCGGTCGCAACCATCTGACTTGCATCAGCTTTGCTGATGGGCTGGCCTGCGACACTTGCGGGCTACCCAGGAGCAGAATGTACGGGGGGGCCCGAGTCAGCGGGTTTGTCCACTTCCATGGAACGCGGATGCTTGGCGACGCAGCTGTTGGACATGCACAGGCATGTGCGTTCCCTCGCGGCAGAATTCAAGCAAGCGAAAAACCGAGCCTCCTGAGGTGGCCCCCGCAGTTGCGGCAATCAAACGGAGAAGAACATGCTGGGCCTAAGCCGACCATCAAGAAACGCTTGGACGACCTCGGTGGCTACGCCGAGCACTTGGAGGGCATGGGCACTCCGGAGGTGGCAGCGCCGGAGGAGAGTTACAAAGCAGACCAGCCCATTTCGAGTACACAGATCTTTGAAGAGAAGCCGCCGTCGCAGCTGCTCAAAGCGCTCGGTTTCAAGATCGCGAGGGTGGAGCAGCAGATCGCCGAGCAGCAGCCGGCTCGCGAAGCCAAGAAAACGAATCTGGACGCCATGCGGGCGGAGCTCCTCGAGCACAACCAGGCCTTGGCGGAGGCTCAGAAGAACCTGCTGGAGCTCGAGGCTCAGCGCGCGCAGCTTTATGGCGCGCTGCCCCAGGTCCCCAACGCTCCGCCGACAGGCGACCGCGGCGGCGCCGAGGTTGGCTGGAACGTGCCCAAGCTGGAGCAAGTACTGCTGGCTGCTGGTGTTCGTGGCCCCTTGCAGCACGAGGTGGCAATCTCGGTTGGCAAGCCGCGCCGGCGCCGTGCTGGGCAGGAGGCGCAACGGGCCCAGCAGCAGCAGGCGGCACAACAAGAGGCCACGGCAGCAGCCTCAGCAGCAGCAAGCGCCGCCGACCATCCAGGCGCAGCGTGCATGGAAGAGGATGGTGGCGAAGAGGAGCTCGAGGAGGAGTCCATCAATCAGGCCTCGGCTGAGGAACTGCTGGGTTTCCTGCAGCAGTTGGGGCGTAATATGCCTGGTGCTGAGTCTGCTTCCGAGGAGGGCCCCCGCGCTGCAATCGAACGTCTCCGCCCGGCCGAGCCCGAGTGGAAGGTGGTCAAGCGATCGCGCAAGCAATGAATGACTTTTTTCGCCAGACATGACGCGGTGTTGTTTGCAGATAACCATAGTGACTGTGGATCCGCATGGCATGCATGTGCTGGACCTACTGCGCCAGCGACGTCGTGCTGGCGCAGGAGCACTACGCAGGGCTGGTCAAGCGTCCTGATGTGCAAGGAGATGCCCAAAACGCTGGCTAGCGTGGGGCACGGTGCCCCGCTTTGGGCACTGCCGCTGGCGCCGCTGAGGGCGGAATTGCAGCTTTGGCAAAGTCGGACATCGCGGTGGCAAATGCCCCGCCTTTGGAGGATGGCATCATCGTAGAAGGACGGGCGCTTGCGGCGCGCGTGCGCGCGGCCTCGCCTGGGGGTTTCATCGCCGTGGCGCTCTTCCTGCGCACAGGGGAGGGCAGGTCGCCCAGGACTTGGCCATCGCGCGAGGACGGGCCTGTCGTGGATCATGGGCGGCGGCTTTGACGCGCAACCGGGGGAACTGCTGGGGCGCAGCTGGCTGTGCCTCGCGTCCGCAACCTGTGTGGCGCCCCGAAGCCCCACTTATATGCAAGCAGTGCCTGCCACCATCCCTGACTATTTCGTGGCCCGCAAATCGACGCTGCTCGGCGCCGCTTTCGAGGTCGACGTGGACGTCGACGCCGCCTTGTGGCCGCGCTGCCCTGTGAACATCATTGGCCGGGCCCACGGTCGGACTGATGCGACGTGTT